GTTTCTGACTCTAGTATAAGTACCTTATATTCTTAAATTATCTTAACTGCTTTGACTAGAGTGTCGTGATAAAACCAATCCTGAGTGAGTTATGTGCCATGTGTATGTGAGGTTTGTGTGTGTTCTGTGCATTGCAGTTGATGTCTAGAACTTGCCTTGTATATTTGCAAAGTAAAATAGTAGTCTTGTTAAGTCTGGAAAGTGATATAGGCGTTTCTTTGTTGAACCAGATATGTGTAGTTTACCCGCCTAAATTTTATGTAACGTAGTTAACCCCTTTGAGCCTATAATCCTGTTTCTTTGGTAACCACATTACAAGCCTTACCCCTTTGTTTGAATTAACTATCTATTTGAACCTTGTCGCCTCTCATGAACACTTGAATTGTTATGAATTATGTAAAAGTTAAAGTGTGGGGTGGTGGTTCGGCTTTTGAGTGGTACAAATAAAATAAGGAGAAAGGTGCACCATTTTGAAAAAAAAACATATAAATAAAAGCCACTTGGATTGAAGAGAAAAAATATAGTTGTATTGTATAAAAAAATATTTCTTGATGGTGGTGGCTAGTGATGTAATTGTGCTTAAAGAAGTACGGGTAATATATATTGATGTGAAAGTAGAGTTTTGGTTTGACATAAGTATGGACTTGAGTGTTAAAGTATATGTAGTAAAGTGCTTAGGGAGGTGCAGTCACTCTTATATCCAAATGTATCTTACCCGAACCGCAGCCTACATTATAACCAATTAAAGTCCTACTTGATCCTAGACTGAATGAGCTCGATTAGTAGAGTATTACACTACGGGCAAGCCTATGGTGCATCGTTTGTGGCATATGAATGTTATTTTCTGAGAGAGAGTGAATTCTTCCTATCTTGAGTTCCTACGTTCTTAAAATTTACTGTGTGTGGAACTAATCTCTTTTGTTGTGTGAGGGCACGTGATTCATGATAGAAAGGTAATGTCATTGACCTCTATGCTAGACTAAGTGAGTGAGTTGTAAATAATGCATGGTACTTGTGAGTTAAATCTTCAGGTGAAGATGTTACACCTTTTTGCTTAGTATATGTTAAAGATTCTTGGTGTGACGAGTTAAGAGAATTGCTTAAAAAGGTCGTGTCTATAAAGTGTAGTTTGATTGCTCGAGGACGAGCAACGTTTAAGTATGGGGTAGTGATGTTTGGCTATAATTTTATATTTTTAGTGCATTACTTACCTTACATTTTAGGTGCTTTAATGCTGAACTATACTATATTTGCGCTTAATTGAGTCTATTTTATGTGTAGGTACATTGGAGATGAAATTTGAGCAAAGTGAATATTTAAAGTGTAAATCATGCTCGAAAACAATAGGAAAGAAGAAAGAAAGAATTGAGCAGATGGAAAATGAAGCAGCAGGCAAAGCATGCCCAGTGGCTCGAGTTAGAGCAGGCGAGGCGAGCTCTTTAGCTCGCATTAAAGCGCACGACGCAAGGGTTATGGCGAGGTTGAGCACGCGGCAGGGCTTGCGCTGCACAGTCCTAGGCGAGGTGAAGCTCTCCTTTTACCTTGCGAGGCGAGGTTCGTAGCGAGCCTGATCCGGATTTTAAAAGCCTATTTCGTCTCCTTGTTGGACTTGGACTTGGGCTATGTCATTTAGGTCTTTTCCTACACATATAAATAGTCATTAAACACCACTTTTGAGGGACGTTTGGCGACTAGAGGCAAGAATAGATCGTGGAACAACTTTTGGGAAAGAATCATTGAGTTCTACATTCCTTCATCTTTTCTTTGTAATTTGTTTATGCAAAATACTTGGTAAATTGTTACTATGAATATGAGTAGCTAAACTTCTAATCTAGGGTTTTGATGGAATCTATTGGAGGATGATTTTCCTATTACGTTTAATATAGATCTGTCGTACCTTTTTCTCTATTTGTTCAACTACGTTTATTTTGTGGTTGATTGAATAGCTCTCAATTGACTGTTCCTATTTAGTGTGTATTGCTTGAAAAAGAATACATATTTAGGTAGTTGTTGAGCAACATCACTCCTAACGTATGTGAGAGATCAATACGGAGGGTTTAAAGGTGAGATTAGGAATAACGAAACCTTGGTGCGATCTGAGTGAGCCGTGACTTAGTTCCAGCTAGCGTAGTTCGGAAGAATATGTCTAGTAAATTGTAGTAGTTACTCAGAATAGAATTACGACACTCAAAGCGCTCATGATCGGTAGAGAAAACTTAGGCAAATTTATAAGAAACGTGGCGGAAAGGATTCCGACAATAGAGGAAATCATAATCTTAGATCATTCCAAATCTTGTCTACAACCTGTTAGTCGTTAGTTATTAATTACTGCATTTTCATTACTTGATCTTTAGTTAGTAAACATCCAATTCATTATTTAATATTTCTGAAGATTGATTACGTAAATTTGTGCCAGTCTAGTAGCTGTGTTTAGTAGGTTAATTCCCTGTGGGATTCGACTCCGGACTTATTAACCGAATTATATTTGCAACGACCGCTTAATCCTTTTTATAAGGTATAGTTGGACGTGATCAAACTACTACCAGGAAGAGTACTTAAATACTTTAACACCAAGTGGTTTCCACCCCACAGGTTTGTGTCAAATTGCTATTCTGTCTTTTTGTGAATTCATTGTGTACTATGACAATATTAAAAGAATCTCTCGATATTTTTTCATTGAGATAAATTTATTAAACTTACTGTAATCCTATTATGTATACTCCTGCAAATTCATCTTATACAATTTTCCTTCAGAGTTTTACACAAAAGTTGCGTGCGTTCCTTTCAGTTCTACGAGTACTCAGTTCTATTATTGAAGTCAATATTCGAAACTTACATGCAATTGTAACATTCAGGATAGATCAAAAAAACCAGTAGATCATTCTGAGAAATTGGGAATTATGTTAATATATAGTATTACATACAATAGCTTCATCTTTACAATGTAGATTTAGTTGAATATTTTAGAGTTTGCAGGTTTGTGTCAAATTGCTATTCTCTATCTTTTTGTGAATTCATATAAGTACTTTAAAAATAATTATTTATTGCTTGACAGGTTGGTTTTGAGGAAAAATGCTCTGATCATGTTATTAAGCAATTTGGACCCTACAAATGGCTTATGTAATGGTACAAGAATGATATGTAGAGGTTTTGATAACAACGTCATCCATACAGAAATAATGATGGGCGAAAATACTTCAAAACATGTGTTTATTACTAGAATTCAACTTTCGCCTCCAGAAAATGAAGGTTATCCTTTCAAATTAATCAGAAAACCATTTCCAATACGACTATACTTTTCTATGACAATAAATAAAGCACAAGGAAAAACAATACATAATATGGGACTGTACTTACCGCAACACGTATTCTCACATGGACAACTATATGTTGCACTCAAGGGGAATATTTGTGTCCAACAAAGGTTTTTGTCATGATCGAGCAGCCGAAACGAAAAAAAGGAACATATACCAAGAACATCGTCTATAAAGAGATATTAGGTAAGATTCACCACCACAACAGAACATATCTCATAGACACAAAAGTCAAAAGTGACAAAACTATTAAATTTGTCCTAAGGTTGCGATATTATGTGTTTACAATGAATATTCACTGCAAATATTATTATTCATATATGATTTATGATATTTGGATAGTAATTAAATAGTGTTAACGGTAATTTCATTATTGAATGTCAATTAGTTATATGAAACAAGTATTGTATTGAGTAAAATGTGTCTATATGTTCTCTTTTAGCACACTCATGCACTCACGTGTATATGTATGTGTTATTTGTATGTGTGTGTATTCTCTAAGAAAACCCCCAATTGAGTCTGCTTTGATTTGTTGTTCTGGCATAGTAATTGTATGATGTTCTTTTGTTATTTTTCAAGTAATATTTTCTTTTTTATGAAATCTCCTCAACTATACACAAATTAAGTATATATATATTATATATGAATTTTATATATATTACAACTATATAATTATATTTATTTTACAGATTCTGAACTGTTTCGCTAAATACATCGACAATACCGTTATATTTTAGAGGTGCCTTCCTCTTAGCAATAACAACTGAAGCAACATTCTTCCTGGCGCACCATCAGCATTCTTCGACATATGACATCAAAAGGGTAAGCAATAGTCTGGCTAATGGGTCCAGCAACATCACTACATCCAAGCTTTGTTATAACACTCAATGTTTTGCATCCTCAATTGCTATTACACTTAATTCATTCTTATTCAATTTCATACACTATTTTGGCGCTTACCATTTAAATGTCTTGCATCATCAATTATCTTTATACTTAATTCTTTCTTATTCTACCTATTAAAATATGCTCTTTTGTGAATAACCCATAATACACGTGTAACTAAATCTAGTATATATATATATATATATATATATATATATATATATAAGCAAGGGGCAATTTCGTCAAGTCACTCAAAGATTTATATGGCAGCTACAGTGAGATACCTTTTTAGCTAATCACATTGCTCCATTTTAATTAAATTTATCAAAATGCCCTTGAGGTGCCAAGCAGGCATGTTGAATTCCTGTGTGTTTATTCCCTCTTATTAATAGTTAGAATTAGAATTAGAATTAGAATTAGAATTAGAATTTGTTCCTAAGATTACCTAATCAACTGTTATGAAATTTTCAAGAAAAAGTTAAAAGCCAAGATTAAAACCTGTCACATAAAGGAGTGGACAGCGCATAATTTAAGAGATGCACGCGTCAATCCTATAAATGTTAGATGCAAAAGGAATTAGACCAAAAGAATTACGGATTTTATAACAGAGGGGTATCTTGGTCAATACAACCAAAAGGTTTAATACGAGCTACAGTAAAGTGCATATTTGACCAATAGATTTGCTCCGTACTTTTGCAATTACAGTTATACCCTCTGACCCAAATTCTAAACCGGAGGCAGCTCTCTGAAAACNATATATATATATATATATATAATTATTTTCGACCAAGTTGCCAAATGTGTTAAAAGCCCAACAAAGAAAAGGGTTATATACCGGAAAGCGTCTCTTCCTCTTTCAGTCCCCTACACTACACATCTCTGTTTTTTAACCTCTTCTCTTTTGATCTTCCCGGTGTGCAAAAATGCAGGTAAGTTTCATAAAATTAGTAGAATGCGTAAATCCTACTCCATATATTCAATTTCAATTATCATCTTTTTGCTTCAAATTTCATTAATTAGTACCACGATTAATCCCCGAAATTGTCTTACAAAACCCTAGTTTAGTTTTCTGTTCAGTATACGACTTTTGAATTTTCTTCTGTTCGTGAGTTCGTCGATTTTACAGTTAATTAACGTATTAATCCCTTTTTTTCATAGTACAGGCTAGTGACAGGTTCAATATCAACTCCCAGCTTGAGCACTTACAAGCTAAATACGTTGGAACTGGACATGCCGACTTGACTAGATTGTAAGTTCCCTATGCATTTTTTGAAATTGATGTTTATATCTCGTTTTGTCGAATATGGTTCCGTAGGTGTATTATTTATCATCTTTGTTTTACATTAATTGACTGTGTTGAGAGTTTATTATTTTCATTCTAATAGCTGTGGAGGTTCTGATGTTTTGGATATTCTATGTTCGGTTTAGTGAGTGGGCAGTAAACATTCAACGTGACAGCTATGCGTCTTATGTTGGACACTACCCAATGTTGGCGTATTTTGCCATTGCAGAAAATGAATCAATTGGAAGAGAACGCTACAATTTTATGCAGGTTTGTGCTTGTTGAAAATGCTTTTCTTGTTTTCTCCAGTTTGTTTTCTTAGTTCTTAATGTGCTTGCTTGCACAATGAATTGTTTTATTAGTTTTTTATTCTGACTTTCATAATTAGTGAATTAAGTGCTTTTAGTGTACTGTTGTATGTTCTTTTACCAACTAGTTAATAGAACTTGCTGCTTTGTTGTTAAGATTATAGGTTGCGCAAGAGCACCATCTTTTGTTGAAAAGACGATTTATTTGCAGAATAAGTTGTAGAACCTTCTTGGTGCTCCTTTTTTTTTTGAATGAGTGGGTTAGCAGCAATTTATTTACAGAATAACTGTAGCACCTTCTTGGTCTAGTGGTAAGAGTGTAGGGCTTGTCTGCGGGATAGGGCACATAACGAGTTTGAATCTTGCTACCAAAAAAGCATGGTAGTTAAGTGGAGAAGGGTAGAAGAACAGCCATTATCCATCAAGTTTTGAGCCGTGCGCCACTGGCCCTTGGGGATTTTTCGGTTATCAAAAAAAGTTGTACTATTTCCAAAATTAATTTCAATATGATGAATGCATTCTTTGGCATAAATCTGATTAGTGCTTTCTATATATAATGCGAAGATTTCTTGTATACTTTACATTTTACGTGTAATGAGATGATTTATAGCTAGACAAATATCTATGACTTGTTTCAGACCACAAGTTTTGAAAGTTTTTTTTTTCTAAAAAAAACTCCCTGCCTAGTTAAATACCATCACATAAATTGGGATGAAGGGAGTAGCTTGTAAGAAGGTGGGAGGGAGAATCGTCAATCTCTGTGTCTTTGCATTTGAATGTCTGGTTTTTCCCTATTCATTATTCTTTTAATTTGGGGGTGGGTGGG